TCAACTTCTCATGAAAAAGTTCTGCCTAATTCACAAGACAACCCAAAACAAATATAGCCAACACAGGCTCAGTGTAGACACGTACCCCTGTCTACATTTTTGGAAAGTGCAAATTATGTACTCAGAGGTGCATCTGGCTGCATTTCATCTTTAAAAAACTCTACAGGGTAGTATGACGCTGCCGAGGTCTTCTGTTAGCTGACCGTTAACCTCCATGTGGATGACTTTTCTGTCATTACCAGTTTGCCCAGTAGCTCGCCTCGTATGTAAGCAGACTTGGGACGCAGAGTGGAGCTGATTGCGACAACGAGGTTTGAGTCCGGCGAACAGCGGTTCAAGAAAGCTGGTAAAACAAAAGTTTTCTTTTTCTAGATTGCTTTTGAAAACACAATCGGTTGGGTTTGAGGATAGGGGTGGGTAATTTATTCGACAGCTATTCGGCCTGGTAAGCAGAAGTTTATATTGCTCCCTCTGGTGAATTTACACGAGAAGGTTGTGCGAGAGGAATTTGAGATCAATAAAAATGTACACAGCGCCCTCTGGTGGATTTATGCGGGAAGAGGTCACGCCAGAGGAATTTGAGATCAATAAAAGCATACACAGCGCCCTCTGGTGGATTTAAGCGAGAAGAGGTTGCGCTAGAGGAATTTAGGATCGTCAAAAAGTGTACACAGCGCCCATTGGTGAACTTGTAAAAAAAAAATAATAATAATGATAAATATAAAAAAAAAAAAAAACTGCTAGCAGACGGACCTCCGATTATGTATTAAAAATGTAGACATGGTTACGTGTCCGCAATGAGCCTGGGTTAAATATTGCTTAAGGGAACTAATAAAAAACCTTAAAATAGTTTTAAAAAAATTGAAGAACTGCTTTTATTCTGGCCAAAATAAACAAAACAAAACTTTCTCCAGAACAAAAAACATTAGAGGAAATACTGTGAAAAATTCCTCGTTCTGTAAATCATCATTTGGGAAATATTTTGAAGACAAAATATATCTGTACATGTCTTGACACCCTGCCTTTAGAGAAAAACTCAACTAATTTTGACTCATTATTTCTGAAAACAACACAATATTTTTCACTTGTCTAGAAAATGCTTCGTGATTTAAGGATTTTTAGATATTCGGACTACAAACAAGACAAAAACGTGACTCAATAAAAGCCCTTTTCTGTTTCAGTTTTCTCAACTAAACTCAGAGAGCGCAGCAGAAACGGTTCCTCGTTTCTCCAGGACGCTGAGAGATGGAGACGGGCCGAAACAGCAGATGCGTCCTCAGCCAAAAACAGTCCAAGTCTGATACACAAATCTGCTGAAGCGTTTAACTCTGGCATCGCCGAGTGCCACTTGAAAATAAGCTGCGCTGACACAATCTGGGCTGCTTGTAATATTTCGAGAGTTCGTGTTTCGGAGTAATCCTATAAATCACGTGTGCTTGGTTTGGACTGGATCCACATCTGCGTGCTGGAGGATCGTGCAAAATATTTACAATGAATTATGCCTCGAGGTGACTTCTGTCAAAAAAACAAGAGCGATTTACAGATTGTGTCGTGCATTTCGTCAGAGATTTACCTTAAAGTCAACATGAAACACCAGGTTTATCTTCCAGTCTTACAGATATGTTATATTTCCCAAGATTTATATATGTACAATAAATGCGAGATATTTTTCAAGATATTGCCATCTGATATATAAATATTTTAACCACTGAATTTACCAACATGCATATGTTCAAATAGATAATCTGTCATTTTAAATATGTTCATATATGGCCAAATATCAGATTGGTAACACTTTACTTGAAGGGGGTGTTCATAAAACCCTTAATATTATGTCATGATGTATTATGAATATGAATTAGATTTTATGCATGCGTATGACATCTGTTATTAAGAGTCATTAGCTCAGTTAAGTCATTTTAAATGCAGAGATGACATAGTTTTGAGATGTATTTCTTTGGTAGTATCAAGACAACTTGTCATAAATCCGTCATAAACATAAGTGTTATTATAACCATGTCATGAACATTTTTCTGACCACTTTTTTATTGGAAAACAATAAAATTGTCATTTTTAAGTGTCAAATACTTTTAAAGCTGCGCGATTAGTATTTAAAGACACTTAAAATCAATTTTAAATGACAATTTGTACCACTGTAGAAAGATTAACGATGCTGCTATATAATTCACAATTATAACGACCTCATGACAATCTCGTTTATGCAATGATCATGACATAAACGCAACCCAGGCTCATTCTGGAAACGTAGCCCCGCGGATGTCAGAGATAAAAAAAAAATTCAAAAAACTGCTAGCAGACGGACCTCCGATTATGTATTACGTTGTTATCAGAAATGTAGACATGGATACGTATCCGCAATGAGCCTGGGTTGAATATTGCTTAAGGGAGACGTCTAGCGAGGTACGTATTTGTGCAGTTTTTGGCCGATGTGTGCGCTTTTTCGCGTCTTGAACGCCTCTTGCGAGCGTGCGCCATTCGCATCTGCGCTGTTTTTACGTAAAAAGCCGCCGGAGGCCGATATCGAGCGACTGTCTGTCCGACTGACTGACTGAATGAATGACTGAACGATTGACTGGGCGATCCAATCGGCCGACCCAGCCTTCTTCCCTAAACCCAAGCGACGATTTAAAAAAGCCGCCCAAAAAGGAAAAGCCCTCGTCCGATTTTGACCGTGTTTTCGGATTTCGCTGCATTTTCGCACTGTTATGAACTTGTTCGCTTTATTTTTTGGATTCTGTTTTTTGTCTTACCTGATTTCTGGAACCGCTCTTCCCCGGACTCGAACCCGGTCGTTGAACGTGGCCAGCTCCTCCTCCTCCGAGCCTCCACTCCGCCAACGAGCTAACCAGACAAACTGGTTGCAGCAGGAAAGGCCTCCACATGGAGGAGGTGAGCCGTCAGCTGGCGAGTGCCAAGAGGAGCGGTGTCACACTGGCCCTTAACGTTCGCTTGAAAAAACGAAATGCAGCCATACGTACATCCGACCACGTAAATCACGCTCTCCAGAAACGTCCGCGGGGCTACGTTTTCAGAATGAGCTTGGGTTGCGTTTATGTCATGATCATAAATGTTTCATAAGCCTCATGATCACCCCTTTAAGTAAAATCTGACCAAATCTGACATAAGGCCATATAAAAACATATATATAACATGATGTCTAAAATATTTGTACATATTCATAAGTGAAATTGCTTTTTAATGCTGATGTATGCCATATTTTTAGCTATATGTTGCATTTCTATATGTTTAATCTATTAATATGAACCAAATATGAACTTGTGTGTCACCTGTAATTTGCATTTATTGCCACATATAGGATTTCTACATGGGAAAGCATCTTCACGTTCCTAAATATTTCAGATTTTTACTCTTATACTTGCAGCATTTGACATTATTGTGTTCATCAGTGTTGGGGTCGAGCATTACAGGAGTTCTGTTATCAGATTACTTTTGCAACTACTAAAGAAAAGGCAGATTCACATGAGGCTTCAGCCAATGAAAATTATTCCAAAATATTCAGTGTCAGCCAATGAAATTATTCCACAACCGGCTACTGTATGAGCTGGGGTATTTGCATAAAGCGATCTGATTGGTTGACGCTTCTGTTGGCGTTTGAATAGTTGAGAAAATGTCCAACATCTGCAGCGCTGAAGCGGCACCATAGGATGCACAATTCAGTTCGGCAACGCTTGACGTCACACATTCAAAGTGAATGAGAAGCGCTGACGTCCCGTGTGAATGGGGTGTAGCAAATTACCTTTTAATAGTCAAGTTTTCAAAAGTTATTTTTTAATTATTATTACACACTTAAACATTCCTAAATTTGCCTTAAAACCTTAAAGTAACAAGATCGTAATATACACTCACCGGCCACTTTATTAGGTACACCTGTCCAGCTGCTCATTCATGCAAATTTCTAATCAGCAAATCACATCCAGCAGCTCACCGCATTTTGGCATGGTCAACACGATCTGCTGCAGTTCAAAGCGAGCATCAGAATGGGGAAAAAAGGGGATTTAAGTGACTCTGAACGTGGCATGATTGTTGCTGCCAGACGGGCTGCTCTGAGTATTTCAGAAACTGCTGATCTACTGGGGTTTTCACGCACAACCATCGTTAGGGTTTACAGAGAATGCTCCGACAGAGGAAATATCCAGTGAGCGCCAGTTCTGTGGGTGCAAATGCCTTGTTGATGAGGCCATAGGAGAATGGCCAGACTGGTTCCAGCTGATAGAAAGACAACAGTAACTCAAATAAGCACTCGCTACAACCGAGCTCTGCAGAAGAGCATCTCTGAACACACAACACGTCCAACCTTGAGG